TGTTGATATTGAAGCTTCCACAGCCCTTGGTTGATCAGGTTGCTGACTTGATACACCTCCAATGTCGAAAACACTGCCTCTTCCAATTTCACTGGCAGTGCCAGTACCTCTCCCAGTGCCTCTACTAGTTCCTCTGTCAGTACCTCTCCCAGTGCCTCTACCTCTGCATGTGCCTCTGCTTTTAGCAGGTTGTTGCTCTGTTCTAACAGCTGAAGAATCAAAGCACATAGAACTGCCTTGATGATTGAATACTGGTGGCTGACTTGAGCTTGATGATCTACTAAAAAGTGGTGGCTGACTTGAGCTTGATGGTTGGCTAAAAAGTGGTGGCTGGCTTGAGCTTGATGGTTGGCTAGACAATGGTGGCTGGCTTAAGCTTGATGGTTGGCTAGACAGTGATGGTTGGCTTGAGCTTGGTTTCCTATTTGGGTAGCCTCCAGTTTGTCCCATTTCAGCCTATTAATACAGTAATAATAATTGATTATTGTAAATAATTGAAACTTATTGTAAATGTATTAGAAGAGAATAATAACTTACCAATGTTGGACAAGATTTTTTGTTGTGGTCTACTTGATGACACAGTGAACATGTCATTTTTACTCCTCTTTTGGATAACTTTCCATACTTTTTTCTAGGCTCATTCTTTGCCTTTCTTCTGCACTTTGGTGGCCTACCAGGCATGACTTTTGGTTCAGGAGGTTCAATCACTACACCACTAGTGTGAGGCCACATTTTCATGTTTGGTATTGGCTGTAGAAAATGATTATAAGCCTTCAAAAAAGTCTCTTTCCTATACCAATGTACCACTTCATGTTCAGGTTCTATGCCTTTGTGCTGATATGCAAGCACAGCATGTTGACATGGTATGCCCCTCAATTGCCATGTTCTACATGTACATGTCTTCTTTCTTATATCAACAATATGTCTGTATTGACCATCTAAGATTTCATACCCAATATCACCATTGAATCTAACTTCACAAAATCTAGCAAGATCTTTGTTCTCTTCTAGTACTAGTCTAGCCATAGGAGAGATATCTGGGATCCAAGTTTCAGCAAATTGTCTCATTGCAATATTTCTGTCCATTATCTTGTGCCTAATCTCCTCTAGCATAGTTATGATAGCCTTATGTCTAGCAACTAGTATCCAAGAATTAAAAGTTTCACACATATTGTTTTCAACAATGTCACACTTAGAATGCTCTTTAAAATATGCTTTGCACCAAGTAGTTTTTTCATAATGCAACAAGTCCTCACAAATTTTATTACCTAATTTGTTGAGTTTATCCATCTCATCTTCAAATTTCACTTCAAAACTTGACTTAGCACATCTCCAGAACTGTTTCCTTCTTTGTTCACCACTCCATAATTGATGCCAGTTGGACCAGATATGTCTAGCACACCTTCTCTGCTCACTATCTGGTAGCAACTCACATAAAGCTGGTACAAGGCCCTATGTAAGTAGTTGTAGCACAAACATTAAAAAGTATTAGCAACACCAGAAAAAAAATAATAGAACAAGATACAATGCAAAAACCATCTAACCTTCTGCATATCTGACATAACAGTCAGTCCATGTCCTGTGCCTAAGTTCAGATCTTCTATCAAGTACTTTAGAAAAAAATTCCAACTATGTTTTGTCTCTATGTCAACAACAGCCCATGCGATTGGAAACATCTGTTGATTTCCATTTCTACCAACAGCAACCAACAATTCTCCCTTGCAAGAACCCTTCAGAAAACATCCATCTAAACCAATAATTTTTCTGCATCCTTCCAACCACCCCCTCTTCAATGCATCAAAGCAAACATAGAAGTAAACAAACAAAGTTTTTCCTGGCTGAGACTCTCTATCTGTCCTCACCCAACAGGAAGTACTAGGATTAGTATGTTTAATCATGTCTGCATAATCACACAATCTTGAAAATTCCATCTTCCAATCACCTAAGAACTCCTTGATAATCCTCTTTTTTGCCCTATGACAAACAGTTCTTCCAACATATAACCCAAATTTTTTTCTCACTAATTCCTGAATTTCCCATAATCTTATATATGGTTGACAGGTTATTTCATCCTTGAACTTTTCTGCAACAAACTTAGATGTACACAACTTGTTCTTGGTCGATTGAGGACATACATGCACAGGATAATAATTTTTGACAACAAAATCACCAGAATCTTTATCTATACTAGCAAACAGCAACCATTTACATTTCTTGTCCTCACATTTAACTCTAACTCTTTTTTTGTCAATAGACTTCAATTTTAACCTAGTTTTATATTGACAAGAATAGTCTGCAACAACTTTTCTAAATTGTTCAGCACTTTCAAACACCATACCAAGCTCAAAAATTGCTACAACACAATCAGGATCAAATCTTACCTTTTTACTTTTTCTTCTTCTTGGTAAATCAACACCCTTCACAAATTCTGAATCCAATTCATCCCTACTGTCTTCACTGTCCAATTCTGAGCTATCTATATATTGCTCATCACCCCCTAGTCTTCCAGTGTATCTAGCAGCCTTATTCCTTCCTATGTCTTCAAAGCCTCAATCAACACCAGCTGTTCCAAGCTTTATTTCCTCAGTTTGAGTAGGTTTTTTCTTTTTCACTTTGTTTCTCCTTTCATTTCTAAGAGATCTTAATTCTTCATCAACCTCAGAGTCATCCACATCAGGAATAACATCCTCTTGAGAGTCATCACTACTTTCTTCATTTGATTCAGTCCATTCCACATCTAGATCTGATATATCTCCTGGCTCAACTTCCACATTAACATTTTCAGATTCATCCTCATGATTTAACCCTTCACTTGTAGTCACATTTATATCTTCTAAGTCTTCTTCAACGACAGACCCACAAAGCAAACCTGTTGTGACCACTTCTAAATCATCCACCACATGCTTTACATAAATGTCTAAAAAGTCACCATCTTTTAGGTCTTTGATGAGATTTACTAATGTTAAATCAGTGTCCACCTCAATAAAGCCATTTTCTGTGGGGTCTTTAACACAGAACCCACCAACAGTAATATACCCCAATTGTTTAGTGTAAAAAAGTAACTTGATTATTGAGAAGTGGTCCTTGTCGATATTAACATATTCCACCTCGGCTTCCCCTTTATAAGTAATTCCAGTTTTGTCCTGAATAAACTTACCATCATGATGAAAACGAGTTATAATAATGGCGTCCATAAGATTCCCTGAAACAAGGCTCCAAATTTTTCTGACAGTTATGAACAATAAAAACCAAAAAACCCTAACTTTATCTAGATATTAACAACAACAACCACATTGATACTAAAACCCAGTATATATCAATAATAAACACATATATTAAAAACACACAACCACAACAACATGCTCGTCACTTACCTCACACTCGTCAACTCGAAAATCGCGAATGAACTCCAAAATCGTCTGCAATCTTCGATGATTCCTTCAACAAAACACTCGAAATCACTATAAAATGTAAGAATTTCAGCTGTAAAAGTAATTGAAAATGAGAGATTCTTAGGGTTTTCTCGTTTAGAAACGGGTTAAAAGTGATTTGGGGGAAAATTGATTTTTAGGTTTGATGATATAATATGTGGCACTGACGTGTAATTTGGTTGGACTGTATTGGTCAAAATTTCCACGTGGGGAAGGTTCATCTCACGCGCCTAATTACTAAAAAAAAATTATTGAAATTTGGCTCCACATCAGCCAAAAATATTTAAAAGGATCAAATTATTGGGGTTAAAGGATTTAATAGGAATCTTGGTTAGTTGAGGTACCTGGGAGAAAAGCGCGAACAACTTTAGGGACCTGCGTATGTATTTGGCCTAAGAAATAATATAGGTTGTAATTTGTATAAGTATATGTTCTTTTTGTTGTGCTTTTTAGTTGTACATGTATATAATATAAATAAAAATTTGTAAGTTGAATCTCTCTCTCTCTCTCTCTCTCTCTATATATATATATATATATATATATTAGATAGAATACAAAGAAAAAACTAATATAAAGTTGATTTCAACATGTTTTTGGCGGTTACCAAAATTCGTAATAGCACAATTGGGAGGGTAATGGTGACAATTCAAAATTCAAAAATAATGTTGGTCATGAAAGGAAATTGATCTGGGAGAGAGAGTTCAAGAGAAAATTGTGTAAATGGAAAGATAAAAGAAGGAAAATTTAAAATTCAAAAATAATGTAGGTGAGGAAACTAATCTGGATGAGAGAATTTAGGAGAAAATTATGTAAATGAAAAGAGAAAAGAACTCAAAAAAATCAAAATACTATATAATGTGCGTGCAAGAAAACTAATCTAGGTTATAGATTTTAGGGGAAAATGGTGTAACCAAGGATAGAAAAGAACTGCTTTGATTTGTATATATCTTTATACAAATATACCTTTCGTCTCTTTATACAATACTGTGGGTCTTGTTAGATAGCAAATTATGTGGAACAGTCGCTACGAGCTGGAATTAAACTAAACTATAGCTATAACATTTAATATGAACTAAATATTTGCTATTTTATACAATTTTTCCTATAATTCGATTAGGATTGTAATTTTATCTTAAATTCCTATTATGTAAGTAATTAATTAATTATATAATATTCCTGTCGTCAAAAATCACATCTTACGTTATTGCTAAAAGAAGTTGTTGATATAATGAATTTTATCGTAAAACTAAAACATAAATCTCAAACTAGCAGCTCCCATGCGCCTTACAAAGTCACAGTCAGCTTGCGCCTTGTAAGGACCTTCTTCTATCAAATCAAACACTCTCTTGTCTAAATGTTTACCCTTTTGGTTTCAAATTCGTTTGAAATCACTATGTTACCTTTTGATTTCAAACTTATTTTTTGTTACCCTTTTGAAAATTTCACTCAATTTTTTTGCTCTTTCGGCTCCGAACGTGATCCACTTTGAATGGCAAAAAGGGCTATCAGGTGGACATTTCTTTTCATCAAATTGTATGTGATCTAAAGTCCAATTCTGCTCAGTATTACTGGGGTGAGTAAATGCGTCAAATTGATGAATTGTGCTGAATTTAAACGGATTAATATGAATTTAATTAAAATATAAATTTGATGTAAAGAACAGGAGAGAAGTGATGTATAGTTGATCTTCACTCTCTGAGAAAGAGTCGAACTTGGAACTCATTTACCCATTTTCCAACTCAAGCCCCATAACCTGCACATACTTTGCTTCGTCTTCAATGGAAATTCTTCAATTATTCGCCAAGTTATACCTTTATTTCATAAATCTATGAGTCATGACCCTTTCAGAAAGATCACATCATAAAAGAGCCATATCTTACTACTGCAATACAATATACAATGTAGAACCTGTCTGTTCCACTCTCCCTTTAGCTGTGAACTCCTTCAAGTCACCTGCAGCCAGAACGAAGTAACACTTGCATTGAGAAACAATAGAAATACTAAGGAGACGTTCATTCTGTATAAATCTGAAATAGTACGAGATATCAAATTACTGTTTTATTCCGTGACACAAGTAGAGAGTATGGAAATCTGAGCTACTCACCTCAGCTTTCTGTAAAAAGAGAAGGCGGGAGGACTTTATATGGGTTTAGAATTCCGTTAGGGTCCAGTAGCTTCTTAATGTTGGCCATTAGTTGGACCTGCGATAAGAAATGCATCGGTTCAGCAATTTATAAAGGACTTACCCACACATTGAGGGGACAGAAGGAGGGGAAGGAAAATAATACATGCAGTATTTTCACCTAATAGTTTTTCAATTTAAAGTAAGCTATGCAGACTAAATCAGACAATGGACCAACCGATGCCAATATCCACATTCCGTTCTTTATAGTATCATTTTGGTCTAGAACCTATTAATAGGTATACTTGATGGCAGTATATCAAACATGCTGGCTAGATGGGTATTTGCAGAGATGTGTTAGCAAGCTCACGTTATCTTCACTATATGATGCTTTAGAGGGAGACAAGGGCTTGATGTCAGTACACAATCATAGATGATCGTTTATCCCCATTAAGTCTTAACCTATGAAAAGAACTATTATTCATCACATCTCTTGTACTTAGTCGCGTTATTCCAGTATCTAGAAAGAAAATACTGAGGATTTACTGCATATTGGGGCGAATTCTCTGGGGCATCATGCAAAAAATATATATATACATGAAGTTTCAGTATTTCCTAACTAGTTATACTTCTTTTGGTGTTGAAAGAAACGAGAACTTTCTATATTGAGATGTGTCGACAATTGCTGCTTGCAAACACTACATCCCGACAGAAGACTCAGTAGTACTGATGTCACTTTGTTTAAAAGATAACTAAAAGTACTGGTCTTACAGTTTCAGGTGACTTGGTATAATGGATTTTATTGGCTTTCATCAGTCCAAGGCCATGTTCGGCACTAATACTCCCTTTGTGCTTAGAAGTCCATTCATAAACGAAGGGTTCAATCTGTGATAAAATCTGCAACCAACATATCCAATTAATGAGATAATCAACTAATAAAATTCAGTGAGAAGCAAGAATGCCAGGGTAGTACATTATCATCATACTGAGGAGTTGAGATATTAAGATGTAAGTTTCCATCCCCAAGGTGACCATAAGCGACTACTTTTGCTGAAGCACCTGTAAAATTTCAATTAGAACAACATTAAATTCTCTGAGTTTGTCAGTTACCAGTAACAGCTGGCATGCCCCTAAAATTGTCGATTCAACAGAAAATGAAGAGATGGATAAAAATGAATGCATCAAATATGATATGGCATCTCTGAATGAGACATTCAAATTTAACTGTGCATTTACTTCTCCTGCAGGTAACTGAGTCATGATTTTGAAAAGGAATATATTTTTATTTTTGAAATTGAGTCTGTGGCGAAAGTGAAAAACTGAGTCCTAATTAAGGAAGCGCTAAGAAGAATTGATCCCATAAATAATCCAAACACACTAATAAGAATGAAATGGAACATGCTTTCAGCGAAGCAAGAATTTTGACATTCTTACCAAGTCGGACTCCCATTTCCTCAACAAGATCATACATCTTTTCAACTGGTATTGACAAATCATATTTATATACACCTCCTGCCTTCATCAAAGCTTCAGGAATACCCTACAATATAAAGATTAACACCTTTATTTATCAAGACATGAACAGACTCGTACCGCATGAAGATGTGCACTTTTTTAAAATAAATTTACAACAATAAACCCAATGTAAGTGATAGGGCAAAGTTTTCATCAGTTATTCATTACTGAGGAGATGCAGATATCTTGGTTCTTATCAAGTAAAACTTTCATGATGACAATAGGTCTTGAGTCTTGACAATTTTATAAAAAGCAGGTGCAGCTACTATAAAATCTACAAACGGTAAGAGCTGAAAAAATGTGATCCAGATTCCAGACGAAAATCAATAATAGTAACAGAGTTCTAATAACAGAGATTTGTAAGGGACACAGAACTCCTTCACCCAAATTAAAGATTGAATTGTTCTTATTTATTGTGGAGATCACATAATATTCTCACTTGCATAGATGACTGGATGATATTTTTGGAAAATTATAATTTACTTTAGGGATCTTGATGGGTCTATATGATATTCCATATCACCTCTCTATATGGTGGTTACTACTATTGAAGCCCTACTTTAGTGATGAAGGAATATTTACTTATCAAATTATACATCCTTTCATTCTCTAAAAAATATTTACTTCTCAAATTATACATCCTTTCATTCTCTAAAAAATATTTACTTATCAAGACTCTGAATAGTAGAATATCACAGGTTACAGATGCAAGCTTTTTTTGCTTTTTTTTTTTTCTGAGAGAGATATTACATACAGATTACTTGTCAAGTATAGAGTGATAACCTCACGAATATGCCAGCAAGAAGATGCCTGAGTTATATCTTGTGCAACAACTCCATCACTTATCAAGTCATTTTCCATTGAGTGCAGCAAGAAGGCATCTAGTTTCTCTCTGCATACGTCAATATGACGTAGCAGAATCCAACAAAGAATGAATTCAACTTATCAAATTGCATACTGAATAAGCAAGAAATTAGCTAAGTCAGAGGAAACTGAGAGGCTACTGACATCCAATCATCTTCACAAAACAACTAAACATAAAGGATATCAACACTCAAACGCTATATATTATTTACAATAGGTCACTCAAGCATGGATTTACTTTGTATCCTTTCCATGTGATAGTCAGACTTAATAAAGTAACTAGCAAATCCATAGTTAAAACTTGACAAATCTCCTAATGAATAGCGAAACACTAAATTCAGAAGCGAAAATTTTCATCGTAAAAATTAATTCCTCTTTCTAACTTCAACTCAAGTAACAAATAATGTTTTCTTGGTAATTTTACCATTTTAAGCATTTCAAATCCTATAACATACAAAATTAGCAATTTTTTGATCAATGATTCCTGAAGTATATTGATTCTAATCATAAGAAGTCTTATCCCGGCTGCTAATAGTTTAGGTTAGCTAATGAAGCGTGACCTACTGCCATCCTACAACCAGAGCATATAATAACCAGGAGAAAAAGTACTAAACAATCAACATGAAGAAACCAGAACTAGCAAGCACATTCATGAGTGAAAATTGGAACAGCTCAACGCAATTTTACTTTATTGATTAATAAGAGATGAGGGATAAAATGTGGTTGGCTTCTTTCCAGACTCAAGCGTGGGTTTACAAAATGGTAAGCAAGACACAAATGGCTAACAACCCATCATATGGTACAAACAATGAAAAGGCGTTCTAAAATATTGTTCAGTCAACTAGTGGTCTGAAAGTAAACTAAGCCAAAGTCCTCCGATATGTAGACATCTCATGATACATTTGAAGTCTGATAACAAAGGCACGGTATAATATCCAACGGCTCGCCTCTATACTCTGAGAGGCAGAGGAAGAAACATGTAGCCTTATGAGGATTAAGTTGTGTGGAAAAGGTTATTGTTTTTCCGATTTTTCCGGAACAAAATATCCAAAACAAACATGAACTGAAGTTCTTTCAAATGAAGGATATAAATAGTTATGAGCAACCAAAGTATTTTAAACAAGTAGAGCAAATTAAGCAATGAGGATGTTACCTATCATAAGATTCGCTGCTTCCAGTTGTCTCAATAAGAACATAAAAGTTATGCATTGAGGAAGGAAATGGATTACGGACACCTTCTAGATGTTTCAGGACCTGCTCCACGTAACATAATAGATAATGCTGCATTAAAGTACTGCATAACAATGGCCTATAACATTTATAATAGTTGTCAAAATAACTTGAATCTCCAACTTAAATTAACAGTCTAAGCACAAAGTTGACAGGTAAGGAACGATGGCTGACTATGCAGCACCTGCAAGCTTACCATGCAATTTTGAATAACATACAAAGTGACAATGCAGTAGTTACCATTCATCAAGTATAATAACCTACATAAAGCAACTCAAATAGAACAGGAAAAAGAACTTGACATTCCCAGATGATATCGTCAGGTGAGACTTGATGGATTAAAAAGACACATAAAGCTCACCAGATCCATTGCGCCATGATCAAGGAATTCAAATGCAGAAAGAATTTCCCCAAGTTTCCTCTTTGCCTCTAACAAAAGTTTCTGATGGCAAACAGAATTTTCAGCAAGTAAAGTTATCATATCAAGTAACTTCATAGTTGTATCATACTTCAGAGGGTAGAACCATTATTACCAGGCAGCTTGCATAATCTTTACAAGCAAGAAAGCATACGTTTACAGAGGACAACTTTGGAGGAGTAAGAATGGAAACCTTCGTTACAATACCCAAGGATCCCTCACTTCCTATGCCATGCAATAAAATAAAATGTTTATCACAATGTAAAACAACTTCTGTTGACATAGAATAAATAATATAATCTCACCTATAAATAAATGTTTCAAGTCATATCCAGTGTTATCTTTTCGTAAAGTGCCGAGCATATCAAGCACCGTTCCATTTGCTAAAACCACTTCAAGACCTGAATAGATGAAAGTAAATTTGAGAACACTTACAGAAGAATGGACTTCACTTATATGTTTTTTTAGAACAACATTACTTTTATGTTTACCAAGGACAGGAAGATCTTGAAAGGCTCATACATAGCCTTGTCCTCAAACGGATGTGACAAAACGGATCCCAAGTTTATCTTACAGATCTAAAGATGGAACATAATTTTCATTATTGGCTAAATCTTTCATCAGCCCCATTAATAGACTCACAGATTTGTTTAGGTCAGTAACTTCGACTCAGAAGTTCCATAACATAGCTCAATCAGATCTTACCAAGCACACTGCCATGCAGTGAACCATAGCGGAGAAGTCGCAAACCACCAGCATTAGTTGAGACGTTTCCACCAATTTGGCAGCTTCCTTTAGCACCTAAATCTAGTGGCATAACAAACCTAAGACAGAATGTGATTGACATTGATTTCATAAGGAAACAGAATAAAAAAGAACTTATTCGGTGGCATCAAAAGAGCTAGTAAGAAGTACCCAGAATAGTTTATAAATAGAAACAAACTAGACAGAAGATAGATGTAGAAAACAGGACAGAATTCTCAGTGCTGTTTCTTTCTATTGTCATGATATTAAAAGAAGATGTAACAGAGTTTGGAGAAGATCAGTCTACGAATTTGCAGATGGAAATATTAAACTGAAACACCTTGCTATTACATGGTAAGAATGCTTAGAATAGAATCACTCTGATGGATAACACTATGGAGTTTATATGCCAATTAAATGGAGAAAGAAACATTCTTTGGTCAGAAAGTTGCAAATATATGACAATAAAGTATTCAAAGGTGTTCCACTGTTTCTAGATTAAAACCTAAAAAATTGCACAAGCAGAATTATCCACAAAAAAAAAAAAAAAAAAAAAAAACTATCCTTGACATGATTTATATAGAATTCATAAAAGGTCTCAAGTAAGAAAAAATCACCCTTGGTTATCAAGAAATGCGATGAGGTTTTCCAAAATACATCCTGCCTCACAAACCAGTATGCCACTAACCTACAAAAAGATGTAAAGGAGGACAACTTATTCTATGTGCATAGACTTTACACAGTCGTAAAGAACTCTTTCCTTCATCAACTTTATATCTGACAAGAACAAGAATTGAAGATAGATCAGTAGAGTTACTTTTATCTTGTCAATGACATCTTTTTCTTTACGCTGAAATAATATTTATATCCCCCCTGCAAAAGCAAGGGTTCATGGAGTATTTACACTCACCAGCACATTTTCAGAATAAACTTACTCTTACCTTGTCAAAAGAAATGAATTTATTCATATGACTGATACTGACGATCACCTGGACATTTTCAAAATAAAGAATACATCAGTAATCAGTTAAGAAAAGAATTATAAGACCAGCCAACATATTTATTTCAGAGAATTTTCAAACATTCACAGCAAAGAACATATCAGCAGCAAAAAAACTAGTTACATCAATCGGTCTATCATCTACTACTCAGTCCCAGACTAATTGTGGTCGGCTGTATAAATCAGCTATATCTGTTTCACATTTCTTATCCCAGAAAAAAAATACAGTAGCAATAATATTGATGTTTATAATGACTAGAGGTTCAGAAAACATGGATATGTTTGATAGATGTTGAGTACTACTAATTCTAGCTTGACGAGTATCAGTGCTTAGCTCATGTGTGAGACAGAGAAATCTAAACAGATTGGTTTGAAAAGAAATACAAGTTCAATATCTCTACAATGAGTTAGGAGGAAGTTCTGGCTTGGTTCTAAAGTTGTTAAATTGAGAAAAAAGACTTGAATTACTACAGCTTTGAAGTTTAAAGTCTCCTCACAGTGCAATTGTTTATAAAGTCAAGAAAACATTCAGCAGTTCTCTTGTCATTATTGACATTTCAAGCAGCCCAATGAACAATGCAATAATGCCGCCGCAGATCCTTCCACTTCCGAAAGAGAGGAAAGTGGAAATAAGGGTTCAAGCAGCATTTTGGATTGAAGTTGTAAGAACATCGATGAGAGAGTCGCTGAAACACGAATGTATTCCTCCTAGGTGAAGCTTTAAAGTAAAATGAGACAGTTTGTCCCCCACTCTTACCATTCTAACAGAAGATGGTTTAAGAAACATGATGCAGCAATAGTTATGTTTACTTCACATGATTAGGCAACTATCAGAAATCATTCCCATGGGTAATTAGCAAAATTAAGGTTTGGCCCTTCAGAATAGGGCACACTGGTATAAGAAATGTCATTTAATGACCCAATTATTACCCTTTGTCCTTTGGACGGTTCAGTGAAAATTTGTTTGAATGGATTTGGCTTGACTTTGACCAAAATTTGATCCCAAAAACTTCTACAAGTATTTTATTGTGCCAACTGTTCTGAATTATTAAGTCTTCATGTATACTTTACATGAATGTACTCTTATCATTATAATTTTGGGCTCCTTAAACTATGATATGAAACATGAGAACATACCCTGGTAAACTATGTTTAAAGGTTGTTGGCTACTTGTGCTCTAACTCTGATTTTACAAACTAAGACAATCTATCTACGAAATAGCATTTTCTTATTAAGTTGGCTTTAATGAAACTAATTGTTTATCTGTTTTAAGATCCAAATCAACATCTATACCAGGTAATTAACAGTGTTGTTGAAGGTGAAATTTTGAGAGTCTGTTAGGGCTTTAAGCTCAAAGCGCAATAAAACTGTGGACGTCATTAAATGAAATCGTGATGAAGAACAAGAATTATGTATGTAATGCAAGAAAAAGTAACTACAATCACAAAAAAATAAAATTTTATGAACAAAGTAGTTGAAACAAACTATCGTTAAATATTAAATGGAACAGATAAAGTTGACAAAAAAAAATCAAATTTTTAATTAGATGAAAAATGCAGTTTTAAGATTTTTATTCCGTTTAGGTTAAGTTTTCTTATATGAAATCTATAAACTCCTTTTCCTAAATAAGTACCAAATTCATTCATACCATTTTCTTAACAATTAAGATATCTCTTCTCCAATTATATTTATTTTTAGAGGCAATCTCTTCAAGATAGCATGGTTAATTAAGCGCACACCTTCAAGCCTTGAAACCAACATAGAATGCCAGTTAAGCAGGCGAAGTGCACTAGGTAAGCGTCACCATCTTCAGATGTTAAACGCGCCGCAAATGAACCTTTAAGAACAGTGGTATACAACCAAATAGAAGAAGATATAATACAATGTGACGGCAGCCTGTCATTCTATAATTAATATGACTAACGGAAAACAAACTAACAATTTCTACTTGGACATAAGACATTCATGGTAATGTATCCCTCTACCCATAATTAATTACCAGTGGTCATCAAGTAATCAAGAATTCCTTACCTCATCAAAAGCAGGAACACTTCCTCCCACAAGACCTGTATTCCCCCCTTGTGGAACAACAGCCAGGCACCTGGAATTGCAATATTTAAGAATCTGAGATACCTGCAGAACCAAAGTCAAAGAAACACAAATGGGAAACCAAAAGGTGTAGATATTAGTATCTATTATCAATAAGGAACAAAAAAATTTGCGAAGAGACGTGACATTTCAACCTCCTCTGCTGTCCGAGGTTGGAGCATAAGTTTACTGGTGCCCTTGTATTTCCTCATCCAATCCGTGTTCACAGCATCGAGTGTCTCTTCATCTTGAACCACCCCTCTTTCCCCTAATATATTTTTGAAATAGCTCAAGTCTTCTGAACTAATTGTTGAAAAATCTGGTCTTCTTTGAATAATGCTGGCCTGAGAAGCAAAACATCTATACTGGCTTCTGCATCTGTTCCATGGATTCGTACCCAGAGATACCGGGAGATGTTTAAATGTTTGAAATTCTTGTTGATAATTACAAATATAAGGTTTTACCAACTGAGAAGGTTGGCTACAATGATACCTTGAACCTACAAACCATGAGAATGAAGATTCTCAGTTTGCTTCATCAGAGTATCTTTTATAATACACATACAATTAGTTCCACTTGGGTTCATTTTCAACTAAACCTTAATATAAAGTCACTTCATTCATTGAACCTGAAGATTTATCAGGACAAACTCAGTAGATAACAATCGGAGTCCTACGTCAATGATTTTTTATTCAATCAGTAACCCCAAAACCATGTGACTAATTTTTTTTGTTGTTAAAAATCAAGATGAGAACGGTTGAATCAAGCATCCTCATACTCAAGTAACAAAATTCGAAATTGCAGGCTCTGAATCAGAGCAGCTCCACATGCAATCATCAAAAATTTGCATCTCAGTTCCAAATTAGTTGATTCAACTATCGGACTGTTTGGTACGAGGATAGAGGCAGATCTAGGATTTGACATTTGGGATTCCTACAACGACCTCAAGTTAAAATACAATGATAGTTGCATTCACAATGAAATACTCATTTAATTTCTTAATATATTCAAGGTCAGTGCAAAAGTTAAGCTCTAGATAAGCCACTAACGAGGGAAGTCAAGTGGAGGTTCTTTTTCAAGGAAAATATTTTCCATCAAAATGGAAAAAGTGACTTCCCTCCCTTATAGATGGAAGTGTTGTATTTGTCACAACCATCTAAACTTTTAACTACATTTTACTTGCTCCAACTAAAACTTGGCCACCATCTAAGTTGCTCAGACTCAGGTTTGGATGTCCGATAAAGGTGGATCTACAAGTTGGATCCTTCATGATCAAAATATTAAGATTTGGGGTTATAGATACAGGTGCGGAGATTAAGCTCAAATATCTAAAAATAAAGTTATATGTCTAAGTTATGAGACATTATGTGGAAAACTTTCCAAGGAGAAAAAATTGATTAAGACGAGAATTCTAGAAGGGTATAAAAGGAAAAGGACCATCATAAAAATTATTATATACAAGCTATTCCATTTTCTTCAATCCCCCTTAGATTTTGTTTTGTTTTCATAAACCATAGGTATTTATCCCGATTTTTCATGTCAATTATAGTCAAAATAGTGAAGAATCTGGGCAACTTAGGACATTATTGCCATAACACAGATGTGGCATACTCACTGACCATGTTACTAACATATTTTGTCTAAACACTCTCCGCATAGGTAATATCACTCCTTTCATCCAATTTATGTGGACCTTTCGAGTTTTGAGAGTCAAACAAGTGTTTTCCTTCTACCGCAATTTTCCAGAAAAATGACTTGTGTCATACAAACACACTCTATATGAATCGTTTCCATACAATACAATTCAATTTCGCTATTATTTTTACCTGATCGTCGATTTAGCTTTACTCCCTCGTTTTACCACAATCCATCTCATTTATCCGGACTTGGGAGTTTCTATGCTATTAGAAAATTCTCAGGATTGCTAAAATTATAGAACAAAGCATAAATTTAACTGAGATGAAATGCAATAAAGCATTATATCAAAAAATTAGTTAATAAGAGCGGTACCTGAGGTGCAAAATGGCTTAGAATTGTGAAAATTAGGGTTTAATCGGCGATGAAAAAAGTGTTTGCAGTATGTAAGTAAACGGTAGGTCGATTTCCAGTCCTCCATTTCTGCAACTGTCTTCACTCTTCTGCTTCCTTCATTAATGAAATAGCAATTTCCCTTTTTACTTGTAACGTTATTATTTTTTATTTACCTTTATTAATTGTATCATTAGTTGCTACAAAAATTTCAATTAAAATAAGAAAATGCATCCTCTAATAATTTTAAATATAGAGTTTTGCTTATCAATTTTCCTAACGTGTCAAGTATATCTATTCGTGCAGGTCTATGTCAGATTCTCATACGCTCATACGTTATCAATATCATATAATTCTAATTAATTATCGAATTATCAAAAACCAAATAATAAAATATCGACTCATTTCTAGAATAACAATATGATAAACAAATAAGTAAAAAAACTATTAACAGAATTTCTAGATTAAAAATTCACATTTATTTTTCTTTCCATGGACAAATAAAACTTCATGTCTCTGCTTGGACATCCCATATGTTCAAGTCTCAATGGAACAAGAAACAGCTGCATTGAATGAAATGTCTTTTAAGTGGAACTGAAGCCAGCTTTTCCAACTGAGCATCTTTGACACATACAGCTCTAAGTTACTTGATATTAACTTTTTTAAAAAAAGTTACTTGTATCATGTCCAAAATTACAAGTGTTAGACTATAGGAATCAAATAATCTCGAGCAACTGACTGACTACACATGGATCAACTTCTTGAAACAATATGTGCCAAGGAGAAACCAACCAATAAGAACAAACATGAAAATCAACAGGTAAGTAAGGAAAGTCCCTCCTCCAAAGATGAGTCCTAAACCAAGCACAACGAGAGGCGGTAAATAGGTTTTAACCATAGCTGTTCTATTTACCCAACGTCCCTTGAGAAAAATGAAAATGGCCAGGTTGACTACATTCCATCCACCAGACTGAAACCCCAGCCTGTTCAAACCATTAGCTACAAAAGAGTGGCAGTTGCAAGTGAAAATGCTGTAAGATTGGTGTTGGAATTCTTGAATGCTCTTTCTTATGGCAGATTCCCACGTGTCAACATTACCTCCAGATTCATCATGGTTCTCGACATATTCACCCGTAGGTTCAGCTGAATAAGGAGAAAGGCAGCAGCACTGTCGGACATAAAAGCGATGAAAACAAAGTAAAGATGCATTAGGATGTAGGACCAACCAATCAAATAGCAAAATCAATGAATCCTAATCACATAATACACCAGCTTGGATGGAAAATCTACAGGTTGAACCAAGAGCAAGGGCACAACAAGCCAGTGACAGCTTGATTAGAGTAAGGAAGTCTTTACAGAAACAAACCCAGTTAGAACCAGTAGGAATACCTGCTCTCTGCTTAATTGGAAATAGCAAGTTGGTGCCCCAAATGTGAAATTGTCAACAGAAACAAAGTTTGGCCCTGCAAAGTCCAAGATCACGCCATCCTCCCTACAAATCCCTATATGCCCAATAAAGGGGATAAACCAAGACAGGACAGGAAGTGGTGACCATACAATGCAGCACGGAAAACGGTCTCTTTTTGGATCAATCAGCATTGGATTCGGATAATTTTCTTCAATCATCAGAGCATGATCTGCATCTACCTCAGGAACCATGACCAGAGCATAAATAACTAGCATAAGAACAAAACATCCAAAATTATTATAATTCATATACGATTGTCATAGTGTATGTCCAGTTTCAACTTATGGTCTACACTATCCAAAATCATCTCCCACAGAAAAATTATTTCCTTCTCAAAAAAACAAATCAACACTGGCTCAAGCCAGAAAAGAGAAACAGCTTCGACATTTCATAAACTTAATAAATACATTTTCCCACATTTATAGCAACAAAGAGGTAAAATGCTCAAAAAGTTGGCTATGTTCAAGGAAGTCTTCAGCTAATTATCTCCAATAAGTCAAAACAGCCAGCAAGGCTTCAGTAGCACTAGACTGAAGCACCAAATGAGTTCCCAATTTAGTTGTTCCATTGTACCCTCTTTTTGATCTAGCAAAGGTAAAAATGTAATACTGGTCCAGCTGGAACCTGATAAGAGAATGTGCACTAAGGCACTTACAGGGGCAGAGCTCTATAGAGCCAAGGGGGTTCAACTAAATCCTCTTTGTGGGAAAACTATACTGTGCAAATAGGGGCAAACATTTTTTGGGGGAATTATACAAATCTCCTTAACATAAGACCTCAAACGGGGCAATCTCGATGTTGGAATGATAATCGTTGTTGTATGCAAACTCCGTCAAAGGCAAAAATTGGTCCCAACGAGGCAACGACCATCAAAATCAATAACACAGGCCCTCAACATATCCTCCAGAACCTAAATAGTCTTCTTGGTTATAATTCATATTAGAGGGTGGATTGGTCTTTATGGAAAGTTTCTTCTTTGTTCCTATAGCCTTGAGAGCTTATGGATTTGACACTGTTTATGGTCTTATGCTACTTCTTTTGTTGTTATGTACGTGTCTTTAAATTGTGCAATATAATTGAATACCTCTCTTGCCTTCCTATATACAGTAAGCTGCTAATATTTTTTAAATCTATGTTTGGCTTTATTTCTTTACTCATCTAGCTCTTTTTCTCTCATCTAAGTTCCAATCTTCAATGGTCTTCTCGGTTGGCATTCCACGGTTCAGGTTAGCTAGTTTTGGTTCCTGGATATGGAGACATGGGGTAGGAAGTTGGTTAACAGTGACTAGAGCATAACATCATACTTGAGAACAAGGAGCTGTAAAAAATGACACCCACATTAGAAAAATATGGGGAACATGAAGAAGAAGCATCTGAAAGAAGGGCACGCCCACTAGAAATCATTCTCAAGTTCCAGTGAACAAACGAAGGAGGATCTGGTTTTTAACTAGCACTGTTTTCTTTTTTGGCAGGAATTATAACCAAGGTATATTCACTATCAATGTATGGTAATCAGCATCCTTGAATGCTCATTTCGTTGTATGGTAAGAAAGTAATTATACACTTTAGAAAGGAGAGGAAACTCGAAAGCGCAGAAACTTATGGTGCTTCGGTAATACAAGGAAATCATACTGGTGAAACGTATAACAGCAGAAACTCATCAACAACACAGAACAACAAGTACAATTACTCAAAACCATAAATGCACAGATGGGTATACAAGTATAAATGTAGAATCCATAGGGCAATAGCTACTATGGAAAGTACTTGTTACATAGAAGAAATATATCAGTAAAAGGCCAGGCAAACATCAACAACAAACAGAAATCCATTTCGCAGGCAATCAACGCGATATCATTGAGCACTTAACAAGGCATAATAGAAACAAAATGGAAGAGATATTGAAACAGTATATACCCTAATAATAGAAACACTACACATTCAAAGCCCAATTTGGGGCTTATACAGAGTTTAGCATCTCTATAGAAATTGGATTTTCATAGTTTTGCCATGAACAAGAGTTAGCTTTTGACTTCATTTGATTTTGAAAGGAAAAATTATGTTAAATCCCTTAACCCTAACACACATGAACTCAATCTCAATTAGCTGGAAAAAAAAAACTTATAAATCGAAGAAAAAAGGTCATCATTCATTACACAGCTAAGAAGAAGTTATGGCGAAAAATTGAAGAAGAAGCTGACCTGCAAATTAGAAGAGAAGCCGAGAAGAACAAATTGAAGCTGAAAAGAGAAAAATTAATTGCAAGAGGAACTTGTATCGTGGGCTAATAAAATTGTGCGTTGGCACAACATGCAACAGATACTTGCAATGACTAAAACACCCTTAAAAATGATTTTTAATGACACTTTCCTATTGGTTTTCATGTCTTAATCACTTCTATGTCCCTCGCATATTATTTCATTTGTTTCAATTTGTGTATATTACTTTTTATTATAAATATATTATTAAAGTTAAAAGTTGTTTTTGTTACAAATTTAATTGATTGTGGATGATTCTCTTGATCTATTTCTAATGTAATGTATTTATTTATTATATTAATTAAATACTATATTAACGTATTTGTCAAATGTTATAAAAGAATGATATGAATATTCTATAAAATGGTAGTCTTTCATCTTTGTGAAACACAATAGAAGAGGTTAAAATAAAGGTTATAACTTTATAATTTCCATCACTTTATCTTACTTTCTTGTTTAAGTATTTTTGCATTTTACTCTTGTTTTACAATATGTTATCAACACGAGTCTCTAACCAATATAGATCTACTTAATTTGAAATTATCTTTTTTCCTAAAAGGTAACCAATTTTCTTCATGTCGATTTTGTCATAATTTAAATTTGTGGCACTTAACATTTCTGGAAAGAACTATTTGTAATGGGTACTTGATACTGAAATTCACCTTATCGATAAGGATCTTGATAATTATATATTCAAAGGAAATAAGACATCAATTTAGAATAAAGCGAAAGATATGATTATTTTTTATTCAAAAAGTCTAAAAAAGTAAATAATAAACTAGTAAAAAGATGGAAACATAAGCTAAATATTTTCCTTCATTGTCATCTTGATGAAAGCCTGAAAGTTGAATACTTAAAATGAAAGATTCACGTAGTTTGAAAGGGAGATATGACCGATGCACTTACGTTTTCAAGATTATAAAATCGTAATTGAGTATAACTCTGTTGTACTTAGAATAACTTCCTAATTAAAATTGTGTGGAGAAACTATGAAAGATGAAGACATATTGGAAAAGACACGAACTACTTTTCATGCCTCTAATATGATATTGCAACAACAATATCGTGAAAAAAGATTTTCAGAAATCTTATTTCTTTTGATGGCTAAGCAGCATAATGACCTTTTAATGAAAAATCATGAAGTCCGCCCACTGAAAATATTCCATTACCGAAGGCTCACGGGATAGAAGCACACGTCCAGTCTGAAATAAGACAAAATTATTGGGGCCATGAAAATGTGTGTGTGTGTGGGAAAGGCAAAAGGCGATATAATAATCGTCGAGGTGGTGGTCATAATAAAGGAGAGGACAATATGGGTTCTCAAAATAATCCTTCTAAATATTACTCATCTAGAAGTTGAGGACTTCTTTGGGGATCACAACTGAAGATTGATAATTGAACTGGGAAATGAATAATGTTTTTATTGTTTTTAATATATTACTTAAAGTTCATGTACTTAAATTTTATTTTGTTAAATTTCGTACTTTTATTATGTATCCTTATTTTTGTGAAGATAAATGAAATTTCTTAATCTTAAATTGGATCCTAGATGAGTAATGGAGATACGTGTCTTGTGGACAGTGTCACGACTCTTACAATACTAAGAGAAAAGAAATATTTCTCTCATTTGATTATGAAAATGGCATATATTAATACAATACTCGATAGTACAGGGTTGATTGAGGGCTCAAAAAAGCGGCCTTATTGCTACATGGAGGACATTATTGTAAAATAATAATGCATTGTATTGTAGTAAGTCTCAAGGGAACTTGTTAAGTTTTAAGGTTATTCGTCAAAATGACTATCACGTTGAAAATCCAAATGAAGGAAATGTGGAATATCTTTATATTACTACGATAAATGTGAAGAAGAAAATTATGCATGAAAAATTATCTGCACTTTCTTCTAGGTTGTACCATACAAATATTGGTACGGTTAAATCAAACAACAGGTTTATTATTCTAATGATTTTGTCATTTTGCATGATTGATTGGACCATCCCGATTATAATATGATGTGCATAATAATTGAGAATTCACATGGGCATACTTTGGAGAACCAAAACGTTCTCCAATCAAAGGAATCATCTTGTGTTACTTGTTTACAACAAAAGTTGGTTACCAAACCATAAGTGGCTAAGGTTGGGATGGAATCCCCTACATTTCTGAAACAGATACATGGTGAAATATGTGAACCTATTAACCTTGCATGTGGATCATTTAAATAATTATGTCGTCTTGATAGATGCATCTATAAGATGGTCGCATGTGTTTTATTGTCAACTCGTAATATGAATTTTGTGAGGTCGTTGGTTCAAATAATAAGGTTAAAAGAACAATTTTCTAATTATGCAAAAAAAACAATTCGCCTTGCTAGTGCTAATGCTAGTGAGTTTACATCTCCAGAATTTAATGATTATTGTTTGTCCGCAGAAAGAACAATTGAACATCTTGTTGCACGTGTTCATACTCAAAATGATATAGCAGGGTCATTAATTTAACTACTTCAATTGATAGCTAGACCATTGCTAATGAGGACAAAGTTGCATGTTTCAGTATGGGGGCTTACTATTTTGCATGCACCAGTATTGTACACGTAAGGTCAACCAGTTATCATGACATCTCCTCATAAAAATGGTTTTTTATCAGGAGCCAAACATTTCCTATCTTAGATTTTTTTATTGTGCGGTAGTATGTTCCAATAGCTCCATCGCAGCGCACAAAGATGTGTCTCCACAGAAGGTTGGGAATATATTTTGGGTATGAATCTCGTTCTATTATAAAATGCTTGAAACCTAGAACTGCAGACTTATTTACGGCAAGATTTGATGGTTGTCATTTTGATTAATCAGTATACCCAACATTAGGGGGAGAACAAAAGTAGTTGGGAAATGAGATAGATTGGAATTCACTTTCACTGTCTCATTTGGATTCTCAAACAAATCAATGTGAGCTAGAATTTCAAAAGATGATTTATTTGAAGAATATTACCAATCAACTGTCGGATACATTTACTAACCTTTCACGAATCAATAAATCATATATTTCAACTGCTAATGCTCAAGTTTGAGTTGATGTCCCGGTAGGACATAAGGTTAAGGCAAAGGAGACTGGACCACGGTTAAAATTTGGTATATCAATTGATTTTAAGGATAAAAATTCTCAAAAAATAAAAGGAATAAGTGATCAAAAGGATCATAATGGAGGCAATTGCTCATTAAGAGCTCCGATACATAATAAATGATGACACCACTAAGGAGGTGTATGCACATGAAACTAATGAGAAAGAGAAAATCTTAATAAATTATGTCTCGACGAGAAAAAGAAAGAATCAAAATTATATTGTGGTTGAAATATTTTTGTCTATAATGTTGCAGGTGATATAATGCAACAAGATGGGTTTTGGAACCAAGATCTGTCAATGAATGTAGACAGAGAAATGATTAGCCAAAATGAAAGAAATTCAAATAGAATTGGCTTCACTTGTAAAACGTAAAAAATTTTAACCAATAGTCTAAAAACCTAAAGGTGTCAATTTAGTAGAGCACAAATAGATTTGTGTGAAAACGCAATGAAAATGATAAAGTCGTAAGATATAAAGCACGACTTGTTGCACAAGATTTTTTGCTAAGGTCTGACATTGATTATGAGGAGACATATTCTCCCGTGATAGATGCAATCACCTTCAACTATCTAATGAATATGATGTTAGGTAGTGGGGCCTGATTAATTTTAGGTTTTCCTATTTATTTTCTATTTTAGGTTTTCCTATTTATTCTCTATTTTAGGTTTTCCTATTTATTCTCTGTAATCAAAAATACTCTGATTTATTAATATAAATATACCTCACAGCCGTGGAAGTTACTCACGGGGTGTTACCACGAAATATTGGGTTTTTTCTCTTTCTCTCTCTAGATCTCTCATCTCTTTCTCTTGAAAGTTCTTGTGTTCTTCATTCAACTAGTGTGTGTGCGTGAATTCGATTCTAATAACTGGTATCAGAGCTAAGGAGATTCAACATGATCACAGAAGATGGATAGTTCAAAGCTTGGAATCGAGAAGTTTGATGGATCCGATTTCAGTTTCTGGAAGATGCAGATCGAAGATTATCTGTACCAGAAAGATCTTTACGAATCGTTGACCGGGGTGAAGCCAGAATCCATGACGGAGAAGAAGTGGAAACTCAAAGATCGCCAGGCTCTAGGGTTGATCCGGTTGACTTTGTCAAGAAACGTGGCGTTCAACATTGTGAAGGAGAAGACTACGTCCGGTCTGTTGAAGGCACTGTCAAACATGTATGAAAAACCATCGGCTATAAACAAGGTATATTTGATGCGTAGATTGTTCAATTTACAGATGTTTGAGAATGGATCCGTTTCTGATCATATAAACGAGTTCAATATGATTGTGAGTCAAATAAATTCTGTGGATATTAATTTCGAAGATGAAATTAAGGCATTAATTTTGATGTCATCTCTGTCCGAGTCTTGAGATACTGTTGTTGCTGCGATTAGCAGTTCCCGTGGATCTGAGAAACTGAAATTTGATGAAATCCGTGATGTTGTTCTTAGCGAAAGTATTCGCAAACGAGAAGTGGGAGATTCATCGGGCAGTGCTCTCAACGTTGATCGAAGGGGGAGAAGTAAGACGAAAGGTCAAAATCAACATGGTCGATCAAAATCAAAGAATCGAGGAAAATCCCTGAATAGATCAAATGTGACTTGTTGGGACTGTGGAGAAAAAGGGCACTTTCGGACGAACTGTACAAAGCCAAAGCAGAAATTTGGAGATGACAATGATTCTGTAAATTCAGTAGAGGACATTGGGGATGCTCTAATTCTTAGTGTGAACAGCCCGGTTGAATCATGGATTTTGGATTCTGGTGCATCTTTCCATTCGTCTCCAAGCAAGGAGTTGTTTCAAA